AACCTCTGCCTCCCAGGTTCAAGCGATTCTTCTGCCTCAGTAGCTGGGATTCCAGGCGCCCATCACCACGCCCGGCTAATTTTTGTATTTTTAGTAGAGACGGGGTTTCACCATGTTGGCCAGGCTGGTCTCGAACTCCTGGCCTCAGGTGATCCACCTGCCTCAGCCTCCCAAAGGGCTGGGATGACAGGCCTGAGCCACCACGCCCGGCCCCTTTCTCTCATTTCATGTCTGAGACGAACCCGTTTCCCCCATGAACCATCCACATCTGAACTGTGCGCTACACTCGAGTCCACACCTCCACAGCCATTCCACTGTCAGGGCACGGCGGTGACAAGCTGGCGTCCAGGCTCACCCCCAGGGCTCTGTCCCTGCAGACCGTCAGCTGCACACCAGGGTCTCGGAATTCTACGAGGAAACGACGGTGAAGTTCTCCGAGCTGTCTGAGGAGCTGCTCTGGGAATACATCCACAGTGGGGAGCCCATGTGAGTCTCGGGGGCGGAGGGAGGACGGGGGACACGTGTGGAAGCCTCTGGCCACCCTCACACGCGGGGTCCCACTCGGCCTTTGGGAAAGAAGGCGGCCCCTGTTCCTGAGGCCGTGTGGCAGAGGGAGAGCCGCCCGGCTGGGAAGCACAAACCCTTCATGACCACACTGAGCCATGGAGGCTCGGAGAGCCAGACTCCCAGGACAGAGAGGGGCCGGGTGGGAGCCAAGGGCTGCGGTGGGGACGGGGGAGGCCCTGGGCAGGGGTAGAGAAGTTCATGCCATGGGAGGAGGAGACCCCAGAGGTCTGTGCCCAGCATGCTGGCTGCAACTAACACGGAGAAACGGTGTGATCCAAAGTCACCCTAAGAGGTGATTCTAACTGTCGTCCCTGCCAAAGAATGGTGAGCGTGGGAGGTCTGCCGGCGCCAGTCGGCTTCACCCATCATCCACCATCTGCGTCTATATGGGTTATACTCAAGTACATCACACATCATGTCTACATAATGATACATTATATAACGTGACGTGATAGAATTATATTTATAATTACATATCATTTATGTATTACACATATATTAATTATACATAATTATACGTTATGCAAATAATTTATATATTATATATTTGTAATCTATTGTGTTATATATTATACTGTAATATGCACATATAATATATTTTATTATAGATTATATATTAATCATAATTTTGATTGATATTTAATGATTAATTTTTAATGATTAATTTTAATATTAAGTAATGATTAATGTCATAATTAATATTAATGTAATATAGTTGTACACCATTATAATAGATACTGTTACAATAGATTATATTATAGATTATATAACACTGTTAAAATAGATTATGTAATAGGGACTGTTATATATAGTTATATATAATCGGTTATATGTATTATAAAATGTAATTATATATTTATATAATATAGAATTATATATATAAATCTGATACAATGGATAATATATGTATTAAATATGAATAGATGTAACTATACATATTAATCACATACTATATATTATATTATGTGTGATTATATGCATATTATATATTAAATATATGTAATTATACATAGTAACTATATATAATGTATAATATATAAATATATAATATGTTATGTTATGTGTG